CTGGATTGTGCCTTCCTCCTTGCCCTACACACAAGAGAAAGCCCTGCATGTGTAAAACATTAGATCAATCCACAGCATCTGAGGTAAGGCCAGATCCATGCTTATGTTTGCATTTCATTGGCATGAAAACTTTTATTCTAGCCATAGAGTCTTCTGCTTGCCAAGGTTGGCTGATTATTTGTCTGGTGGAATTAGATGGCAGAGGGAACTCAGATGCCTGTGAGGACACCCTAGACTCTTCAGCATTCCAAAGTACAAGTTGAATGAAACACATCCATACAAGCAGTGAAGGTGAAGATCTTCTTTCTGCACCTACTGTAACTCAGACAAAATTCCCATGCTGATAGCTGCAGAGCAAAGGGATCCTCTCCAAAAATTGGGTGGATCAGGACAAAAATGTGATTTAATTTATTGTAGGTCTCCTTGAGTGCCCTCTGGGTAAAGTAGTGATATACAAATCCAAGAAGAACAGGTAGGTCAAACCCTGTCCTCTACTTTGTATGCAATTCTTCACTGCCTAGCAAAGAGGCATTATCTTTTGCAGGCTGGAAGAACAGCAAATCTAGCTGAAGTTTTCTTGAAGTTCTTCCCTCCCTGGAAGAGAGTAGAAAATGATTTATTTTATATGGCTACAATACTTATCAGTCAGGAATGAGAGTCAGCCAGTTTGGCAAGGCTATAATAGCAAAACTGATAACTTAGTATATGGCTGTGAAATCAGGGCAGAAATTGATTTAGGCCAAGTCTAATACTATGAAATGTACTGAAGGGCCAATGTACCAAAGGGCCAGTGGACCTTGGAATCTGGAGCTTACAGTTTGCTCCTGAATGGCCTGTTCTCACAGTGTTGGAAGAATCTCAGAGCTGAGTCAATTAGTAGCCCTGCTGCAATTATGCAAAACTGCAACAAAGCTAGTCATTTTTTTTTAAGTACTGAAATCTGCAGAACTTCTGGGCATTCCACTCCCTCTATGGTGGGAACTCTTACTCACCTTCCAGCTTCTCTGTCTACATTCTTTACAGTTTGTGTGGAATCGATGGTGGTATGCAAGTATCTTTTCTCTGCAAGTGAGGACATTTTTACTCTAGTTCCACCACTCTAGCAACTTGCCTAAAACATTTCTTAGCCTTTAGCTAAAACATGAGTCAAGAGTTTCTGTCTTAAAATGATCTTACTGGCTACTACAAAGCTTGAGTTTTTCCTAGAGAAGAAAATAATATTTATTCAGCAATCTTTCTTCAGTCAAATGCATATGTCAGGAAAGGAAGAATGTGGGTTAATTCGTCAAGCGGAGATGCTTGATTTTTAGCTGTTACTGTGCACAGTTTGAGTTAACACTTATATTAAGTCATAATGTATATTGGTGGTTTTTGCATGTTATAAAGGTAGCTGTTATGGTTTGTAACCTTGAGTTTATGACCTAATGTTATATATGAACCAGATCACTACAGCATACTCAATAAACCATGACTCAGTGCAATGTATGAACCCAACCACTTTGTGACTGTGCCCAGAGAAATCATAAATGTCTTCAATTCTAAATTATACATCTAGTAAAATGAGCCCATTTCTATGCAAAGTTAAATATTTCCAGATCCTTTGAAACCATCTACATGTTCACTATGGAGAACCCCGCCCCCCTCCAAATTCTGCATATCAGAGAGAGCAGTGAAGCAAATAATGTACATCACAAAGTACTCGTGGTTTATTCATCATCTCAGCTGTCTCTTAGCGTTCATTATTTATGATCGCATTTCATAGTGCATCTTTTGAACATACCACAGGATCTTTCTGTAAAAGTCATTGCACAAAGCATAGGAAATGATTTTCCCATAGGCCTTGGTTTGGTGAGGAAGAGAAAGGGAAATGTAAAGTTAGAGTTAACCTTAGAGGAGATTACCACTATAAAAATTAATTGGTGCAAACAGAAATGTAAATAACTGATTTCCTTCTGATTATGTGACGAAAGGCGTGTCTTGGCACAGAATTTCATGGGCAATAAATAAACCTGAATATAAAAATGGTACTCCATCAACTCCATCTGAAACTTAATAATTTATAGTTCTAAGAATCACAAAATAATAATTACAAGATTATATTAAACAATTTTAATATGAGAGAAGGAAAGCAGTCCTAAATACATGAAAAGCGCATAACTGGGTTTAGGTAATTTGACTGAATTAGTGGCAAAATGCATTTCATTATTCTGGCCACATTCTCTTATTTATATTTGCCAATCAAAGACTAAATGTGGCTCTTAGCTCCAAAAAATGTATTCCAAAATACGTGGGCTGTTGTAACACTAAAGCAACCAGATGTGGGCTGCAAAAAGGTGGAGAACCACTAGATGGCAACAAAGAGATACAAGATCATTTAGACAATAGGAGGGCATACTAGTGGTCATGTGGATTTTTGCAGCATACATTTGATAGTCTTATGCTCATCTAGCAAAATGAGGGCTTTCTCCCCCCAAAATTAATTATCCAGTTTGAAATTCAGCTGATTCTGTACATATATATTCATCATGCTGTTCATGTAGCTTTACATGAAGAACATTACTAAAATGAAGTAACAAAAATAAGCCAAAAAAACTAAAGGCATGAGTTAAGAAAAGGAAATATAACTGAACCTACTTTACACCAGCATCATTCACTATGCCTCTCCATGCTTTTCCGTCTTTGCAAACCATCTACCACATCCATATATCACTTCATACATTACTTCTCACCTTTTCCTTTGAGGATCCCATCATCACCATCCAAGGACAACTTCTTGTTTTTTTCTATTGACCCACTCTTCCTTCATACATTTGTTTTGCAATTTGATCTTTACTCATTCTCTCTACATGACCAAACCATCGTGAACTACTTCTTTTTATATTGATTGCTCACTTTCTGATTGCTCATTTTTATATTCAGTCTGCATCCATTCAGCACCTGAACTTACCTCTTTTTGTTTTACCACATATATTTCTAAGTATCCCAATCCTATTCAACTTTCTTTGATGTTTGTCTGACGTACCCAACTCTCATTTCCATACAACAATGTGGACAGAAGTATGCCTTTATGCAGCTATTTTTGCTTCTTTCAAAACCATTTTCATTACAACATATCATGTCCTACTTTCTACCTTTCTACCAGCATTTGCATATCTTAAAATTTCTCCATTCCATCTGTCATCTTTAGTAAACAGCGAATGGATGAATTTATGTTCCATAATTGTATGCCAGAAGATAGCAAGAAAACTGATTTGCCAATAACACAATAACAATAATGAGCCATTGGATTAATAGCTATGGAATAAGCGGTATTACACTAATTCATTTTTCTTTTTTTGAGGTTTCCAAGAAATGGGGAGAAATTAATTGAGAAGGCCATAGTTTGATAACTAGATGTGTTATTAAATAGTTGAATGACTGCAAATTAGTAAATGATTGCATGACTGCAAATGTAGGCAAGGAAGAACTATAGCTTGGTGGTAAAATGTATGTTGTGCAGCTGTTTCAATCTTGGCATGTTTAGTTCAAAGGATTCAGGAGCAACATTAGGATCAACTAAAACTACACAAAAGAGCTTGTGAAACTTTGAGTTCTCTAGAACACATCATCAGGCAAGATTTTAGAAACATCAGGAAATGGGGAAGAAAACATTCATTCTAAAGTTGGTGTTGACAAACTGAGTGCATTTGTTGGCATTAGATGCAATTGTTGTCAGGTTTCACCTATTGTGGGGCCAAAGAAATGATGATTTCCCCTAGCTTTGAAGAGATAAAGCCTAGCAGCCTCCAATCTTTTTCTTACCAGTAGCTATGCTCACCAGCTTCTGACTAGGCAGGGGGCAGAAAGAGGGAAATGTTAACAGTCCTTACAGTCACAGAGCTAAAGAGTAATTCTGGCATGCAAGCCTTACTATACCATATCAAAAAACTATAAAACCAATACAGAGAAAAAAGTAGGAAATATTCATAATAAATTGTCACCCCTACAGTTAACCACAATCTATTCTAGGTCGTCTGTCCTCTTCGAAATGGCCTTTGATATAAAAATTGTAGTCTTGCCAGTGATATGGAGGTATGTTCCCTGCAGAGATTCAATAGAGCCAAATTATGTTGTGATTTCAAATGGTAGTGGGCACTGAGCCCTCAAAACATACATTCCCTATTTGAATCACAGAAAATTCTTGCCTTCTGCAGGCAGACTCCCCACCCTGAACTGTTGATGCATTTTGTAGCGCACACGAAAAGTACTAGTTCGGTGTTTTTCAAACTTGGCCACTTCAAGATGGGTGGACTTCAACTCCCAGAATTCCCCAGCCAGCATAAAGTCCACACATCTTAAAGCTGCCAAGTTTGAAAAACGCCTCATTAGATTATATTGCTTTTTACATGCTTAGATCAAAGAACCAGTTGGTTGGAGAGAGGGAAGATTTCTCTCAGAGACCTGGACAGCCACTGTTAGAGTAAATAATAACACAGAGCTAAATAGGTGAGCTGACTTACATTTCAAGATTAGCACAGGAAGGTTGCATTAGGGGATCATGTTAAAAGTGCTGAAACATTAAAGCCGAACTTTGAATCCATCTTGCAAATGTTGGAGTTAGGGTTAGGGTTACTTTGTTCTCTTTCTTGAAAAACTTTTCCTTCTTCTGCCACCTGCTGGAATGACGCTTATCCTGCACTTTCTTTTCTTTAAATAAATACATCCTGTACTTTACTGAGAGAAAAAAAATCTATTGTTGATCCTTCTGAAAAAAGAAAAAAATGTGGACGCTTAGTCAACATTATGACTATTTGCTCGGTGTGTCTCTTCCCCCTTCCCCACTTTTTTCTGATAATAGCATACATGCATTATAATGTTGAAATAGTAAAGCAATGTTACTCAACGTTGGCCACTTTAAGATGTGTGGACTTCAATTCCCAGAATTCCTCAGCCAGAGGTAACTTTACTTTTTTGATCCCTCCTCCCTGCAGACACTCATGCCTCCCGCAATCCTTAAAGACTGACCATAATGTCTGAGGTTTAGGGAAACTATGGTTCAACCCAACTGAAGGATACCAGATTAGTCCTCCTGTAATGCAACAATAACATTAGACATTATCACCTTCACTGAGTCTTACAGTTGATGGTTAGCAGAATGACTTTTTTCATTTAAAAAGAGTCTGACTGGTCTTTAGTCATATATTTTAGAAATTATGCAAAAAGCTGTGTCCTTCAATACATTTTAATTACACCTGGCATATATTTGTAATTATTTTATTTTGTTATATAGCATATCCTATCTTTGTGTTACTTTATTGCTTTTTTAATGATTTTTTACTTATATGTATCCATAGTTTTTTGTTTCTAATTTGCATGTTGAGCCTCCCTAAATTACAGCTCATGAAGGAGTGCCTATAAATGTTCTACACAAAATTAATACAAAAGCTCTAGACAGTCCCAACCTTCTCTTGTTCTTAGTCTTGATTAACTAGACTGTACATATTCTTAATATGAGATTGATTTAGGAGACAACCACTAATTACTTCGCTACTTCTAGATGATCCTCAAAACCCGAATGGAAAGAAGATGCATTAAGATTTCAGCTTGCACCATTTGCTCACTGGACAAAGGCCACTTTTATCTCATAAAGGGAGAAGCAGATCTGCCTCCAATGATCTTCTCTCTTTACAGCCAGATTGCATCCTTAGAGGCAACAGAACTTTTAACTCTCCATCCAGGAAGCAGTTTGACTACATACGGTACGTAACCTTTTATGAAAGGGGTATTAAAAGTATTTATTTTAATCAATTAAAATAATTAATTAATTAATTATATTTCCTTTCAACTGACAGGCACTTTGATGGAGACACAATGCTGAGGATGCAATTCCCTTTCTTCTCACCAGAACTGGGATCAGAAAAATGCCTTGATCTGTTTGGGAAAACTAGTAAGACCAAGTCTTCTTCAGATCAAGCTCTACTGCTCATGATTCAGAGACACATCCACTAAACTTTCTTGCTTTTTTTAGGGATGTTTATTTGACTTGCTAGCCTAGCCTACTGCTCTGTTATTTCCTGATGATGTTCAGTCCAAATCCTGAACAGGTCCAATCTTGCTTTGCTTTTCAAGGTCAGCCAGTCAGCTAGTGCTTTCGGAGAGGCTCTAGTTTATAAATTCAGCATAGCCTATGCATGCTGATGCCTTTACCATTGGTCTATCTTAAAAGGGTATAATAAATACTGTATATTTCTCCTGAAAATAGTTCATGCAATAAAATCTCAACACATTAATATTAAAGGTGTATTCTTTGCAGGACCCTGAAGATCATTCAGTCTCACTTCCTGCTTATTTCTGCAGTATTCCCCTCAAGCAACTGTCCACCTAACTCCAGTGAGTCTACTTTGAATTGTCTTTCCTTAATCTGCAGCCAAGTTCTGCTATTCTTTGCTCCATCACTAAAACAGGGAACTCTCCTCCACCTTCCCCATAACAGCTTTTCAGATATTTAAGTATCAGTTTCTTCCTTTCCTTTATATTTCACTTCTCTAAGTTATACATGCTTAGTTCTTTTGGTGGTTTCTCATATAGTAGCATTTGATTTCCAGTCACCCCACTACACTGGTTATTTTGTGTAGAGATGCTACAGCTATAATTGTTCTATTTGGTATAACACAGGGTGTGAATAAATTCATAGGGGTTTCTAAGCCATTATGACTTAGTCAAGAAACCATTCTTTTAAATTATGGCTTTGTGCAATAAGTTAATCCAGGGAATGTCATTCTTAATATGTGGAACTCTGAGCTGAACAGTAAACTTCAAATCTAACCTGAGGCATAATAATGGCAAAGCCTCCTGTTATTTCAGTGACCTATGATCTGTATTTGTTAATGCAGGCAAATTTGTATTATTTTGTTTAAGAACAGCCATATCACACTGTGGTTCTTATGTGGCTTTGTTCCACTAGAACACCAGCCTTTCAAGCCAGATCCCACCCACCCCCTTTTTTTATGTTTGGTCTCCTTTTTTAAAATGCAAAATTCTATATTTCCTCTTTTGAATTTTGCTTCATTTTGGCCTTGTCAAGACCTTGAATCTTGATTCAGTCATCTATTGTGTCAATTACCCCTTCCAGCTTTGTGACATTTGTAAATTTGATTAATATTCCATGTACACTTACCCAGTTTATTAAAATGTTAAACATATTGGGAATTCCCTTTAAGCTATTATTAATCAGAACTATTAAATATAGCTGCTTAAGCAGACCACTAAATTATAATTTTCAGCCCTCATTTAACCATCTTCAGGGACCACTGTAGCCACTTTCAGGCAATCACCTGGACCCACGAGGGCTCAAACTTGAGACAGATCCCTCTCCCTCCCATTTCTGCCTACAAGTAGAACTCTGTGCAGAGTCCACATAGTAAGATTACATTGCGGGCCTTACTTGTATTTCAGAATATTAATCTCAATCAGGCATCCAGGAAAGTCTTTCGTGGACAGTTTGTTCAGATAATTAGCACCTAAATAGCCCAGTCTTCCATTGTATGTTTTGGGGAGCATACTATCCAGTTCAAAAATATTTTGTTTAGTACCTCATTCTTTTCCCCGAAGACATCTAGAACCCCTATCAGTTGCATTGGCTTTGCATCTTTGACAGAAATCTTTGCCCTTTTGCAAATATTATCAGAAATCTTTTTCAACAAAGGACAGCTGAGGAGTAGAAAAGATAGAGAACTGAATGGGTTGGGTTAGGGTTGCAGTAATGCCTATTTAAAAACAACATAGAAATGTCTTTCTGTGAAGCTTTGGTGTTTTCTCCACAATCCTCCCCACTGTACTCCAATGTAGCAAGCTTACTGTAAGAAGAGTTCTTCAGTGTTGGTGTCAGAGTCTGCACACTCATTCCCAAAGTTCAGTAAATCTTCTGTAGTCTAATTTTTTCCATTAAAGATTTCTTTATTAGGAGAAATGCACAGCATCCATAGTTTGTTGAGTCTAAGCCTACAAAGCAAAACCTTCCCTTTTTAAGCCCATTTTCCCCCCTTCTCCTTTCTTTTCCCGCTTGAAATTCCTCGCACCTTTCTCCTGGTCTCACGGTTGCTTCACCTTGTTGGCGCCTCTGTAGAGATAACAGCAGCACCTGGCTTGGTATCTTCCTCCCCACTTCTCCTAACTTCAATGGCAGGAACAAGCAAGCGGGCCTGCAATTAACATTTTAACCATTTAACCATTTAATATGCATTGCCAGTCTAAATTAAAAACAACTATGGTTTCTAGCTTGCGTAGATCCTGACATGCCGCCTTCCAACAGGATGTTTTCACATTCGAAAGAGAATCTGAAAACAAAATATATATACAATGGTAGTTTACATACATATTTCTTAATAGTTTGAGTAATATATTACATAGTACTATTTAGGCTTATTTGGATATTTTGAATGAAAGTCAGCAATGAGTTTTGGTGCTTTTACGTTTGTATTATCCACCCATTCATGATGTGTTTTTGGGAAATGTTTCCATTGGACCAAATATTGTAGTTTGCCTTTATATTTTCTAGAGTCTAATACGGATTGTATTTCAAAATGGCTTTGCCCTTCAATCATAATAGGGTTAGGAGGTTGTTTGGTTGGGTGCCATGTACTTGAGTCTTTGAACGATTTTAACAGATTAGCATGAAAAACTGGATGTATGTTTCTGTAATGTTTTGGAAGAGTTAATTTAAAAGCAACAGGACTGATAATTTTTTCAATGGGGAAAGGCCCAACGAATTTTGGGCCTAGTTTTTTACATGGTTGAGTAGTTCTTAAGGTTTTGGTAGAGAGCCAGACTTTGTCACCCACTTTCCAAGGGGGGGTTGCAGAACGTTTTCTATCAGCAAATTTTTTATGTTGGTTTCTGGCATTCTGTAGTGATTTAACAGTTAGAGGCCATAGTTGTGTGATATTATTGATCCATTGATCAGCTGAAAGTTCAGGAAAATCTTTCAAAGGCAGTTCTGGAAAAGGCAAGAAGTCTTGTCCAGTAGCTATCTTATAAGGTGTAAATCCAGTACTTTGGTGTACAGTATTGTTGTAAGCAACTTCAGCAAAGGGTAGAAGTTCTGATCTATCATCTTGTTGGTGATTAGTAAAACATCTTAAGTAATATTCTAATAATGAGTTCAATTTCTCAGAAGATCCATCCGTCTCCGGATGGAAACTGGAACTCAGGGCTTGTGTGGAACCAATTAAAGTAATAAATTCTCTCCAAAATTTGGAGGTAAACTGTGGCCCGCGATCTGAAATCACCCTCTTGGGGGCACCATGGAGGTGGTATATGTTTTGAATAAATAGTTTGGCCAGTTTTTTAGCGTTAGGAATTGAAACACATGGAATAAAATGTGCTTGTTTAGAGAAAAGATCAATGACTACCCAAATAACAGTGTTGCGATTACTTTCAGGTAAATCAACAATAAAGTCCATAGCAATTTCTTTCCAAGGTTGTTGAGGAGTAGCTACTGGTTGTAATAGTCCCAACGGTTTTCCTCCTCTCTTTTTTGAAATGGCACATGTAGGGCATGTAGACACATATTCAGATATGCCCTTTCTCATAGTAGGCTACCAAAATTGCCTACGTAATAAATATAAAGTTTTTATAAATCCAAAATGTCCAGATGTTTTGTCATCATGGCCCCTTCGCAAAATGTCCTTATGTAGCGAAGATGGTACATATAATTTGTCTCCCATCCACCAGGCTTGTTGTTCATGAGTTAAAGTATTTTTATGTTCCTGGAACCATTCATCTGAATCCAATGCTGCATTTATTTTT